TTGCTGTTTTATAAAGCTGGGTAAGTATCCCAATACTGATTTGGCACATATCCTGAAGAGATGCAACAAAAAGGTGCAAATTTTGCACTTGAATCCATTTTCCCTGACCAGAACTGAGGACTTCTTGCCCTGTTTGTCTCCGTTAGGCACAAGTATATTTTAAGTGCAAAGAAGTTGATGGATATATGGTATTTGTCATTCTTAATGCTATCTGGTTTAGCCCAAGAGTTGTACAAAACCAAAATAGTTTCTGGTTTGTAAATCAGGCTGGAAAAGACATAGCTGTTGTCACTTACGAGCCACAAAACAGGATAAAAAGCTAAAAGAATTTCAGACACTTTGTCCTTCGCAAACAATGAGATCTTGCGCTTTGACGGTGATGATTTAAAGTCAGTGGTCTAAGCTTTGCAAGCAAGAGGACAGTAAATGCACTGCACCAGCTCCTACTACATCCAGTGGTACAGTCACCATCTGAAAATGTCCTCTGGTGTTTCTATCTGGAGTTCCTCAGGAAGATAAAGTCCCTAAAATACATTTAGGGTACTTGGAAGTACTAGAAGAATATTGGGGGACGGGGGGGTGTACTCAAATCATATCAATAAATGCTGGAGGGAAGTAAAATGAGGGAAGGTCCCCACATAAAATAACATCTACTGATGAATGATTTTACGCTTTTTTGTTCGCTTTTTTGTAACAGAATCTCACCGAGTCCCTTTGTCAGCCAGTCGTTGACTCCATGAGGGGCGGCATCGTACGCCGTGTGCGGAGAGTAAATCCCGATTCTGTGCTCCAGGGCTCGGACCACCAGCCGTTCCTTCCAGGTCCTCCACGTTACTCGCTTGAGCGGTGTGAAGATGGGAGGGTGGTACGAAAGAATCAGGTCTGCCGCCTTCTGCACTGCCTCTTCCATCACCGCCTCCGTGAGATCGTTGGTGAGGAAAAGCGTGTTCACAGCGTGGGGAGGACTTGGTTCCACCAGCAGCCCCACATTGTCCCAGCTTTCGGCCAGAGAGAGGGATGCAAAGTCATTCAGGGCAGGAACGAGCTCCCGGAGATCCATGAGGGAGCGCGCGGGCAGGCGGCTCACAGCTCGGAAGCAGCGGAGAGGCCTGAGGGCCAGGCGCGTGCCAGGCAGCAGCATGCACCTACTCCTGGGGTGAAGGAGGCGGGGGCCCGCCGGCGGAAAGAGCGGCGGTGGGT